AGCCCATTAAATGGTTCTAGATTTAAAGGGCAGTTGAGTAACTGTAAAGACTAAAACCTGAACCTTTTTTTTATGTTGCAGTCAGTCATCTGGGAAGTACTATCCTACACATGGTGACCATTTGTCAGAGAAGAGATAGTAAAGATAACTGATATCTTCGCCATGGCTGAGACAACAGAGGTTCATACAGGAGCAAGCTCCCTGCTGAAGGCTGTCACTCTGAGCCGTCTACGTCTCACTCGACTGCTTTTAGAGGGCGGAGCCTACATTAATGAAAGCAATGAAGATGGAGAGACGCCACTGATGGTGGCCTGCAAGACACAGCAAATGGATTCCCAGAGTGTCCCTAAACACAAAATGGTCAGGTATGTGGGAGATATTGTAAGTATGCAGATTTATGAAGGGAAAAACGTTCCAATACTCATACTAATAATTAACAGTGTAGATTATTAGTCGTCTGAACAATTTTGAGTGAATAAAAGTCAAAGTGGCTTTGTTACTGATAAATCATAATCTAATTATTTAGACGTTTCCTGGGGAAAGGCTAACTAAGATTTGGTGGAATTGACCTCTCCTGGCTGAGATAAGAGCAGATGAGGTGGTCAAAATGACCAGTACAAAATCCCTCTGAGGCGGTTCTAATAAAAAACAGATTGATGGTAAAAGTAATATTTTAATAGAACCCAATCCTTGTTCACATTTTCCCACAAAGAGAGCCTATACCTCTTATAAGGTTACAGGCTATGTCAGTAGGTGAGGGCGGAGTACACCGTGGACAGTTCAACAGTTTTTTTTGTTTTAGGTTATTAAGACTGATTATTATATCTAACAGGTATCTGCTGGAAAACGGTGCAGACCCAAACATCCAAGATAAAATGGGGAAAACTGCACTGATGCATGCTTGTCTTTGGCAAACTGGGTCAGAAATTCTGTCATTGCTTCTCAGCAGTGGAGCAGATCCAACACTAGAAGATCATGAAGGATTTTCTGCATTGGTTTATGCTGTCAATTCAGGAAACAAAGAAAACCTCAAGGTCCTACTGGATGCCTGTAAAGTTATGGGTAAAGAAGTTATAATCATCACCACCAACAACCTGTCAACTGACCATCATGTGACAAAGCAGTACATTAATGTCCCTCCGCCTGCTAACATTGACATGGGTCTGCACTACAGAACTGTTCCTGATGTTGACCAGCACGTCACTGGCCACCAACTACACTTTGAGCAGTGTCCTAAAAATCCCTCACCACTGCTCCATCATATCCAGACTCCTTCTCTGACAGCAGAACCAAGCGAACTCATGTTAAACAAGAAAATATATTATGAAATCAGTACTGCGGCTAGCCAAGGAAATACCCCTCCTTTGTCCCACTACCACAGTATTGATGTCAGAGATCCAGTGTTTAAAAGAGGAAATGCTAATAAGTCCATCAGTGAAGCTAGGCGAGAAGGTGGAAGAAGATATTTTGGTAGAAAGATGTCTTATGACAGTGCTGCAAGTTCACTGTATTCTGCTTCACATCCAAACTTGCATCAAGAGGATATTCCTTTCACCTGTGAGTCAAGCCGTGTAGATGAAGATTCCTCAGAATTACTTCCAAAACTGATTGTCTCAAGTTTGCAAAATGTGGTTCATCGACGGAACATTGGAATTAACCACTATAGTTCTGACTCCCAGTTACCACAGTTTGGAAATGGTTCCAAGTATGGTGTCACACCTGAAAGACATAAGCTTAGCAGCAGCAGGTCCTCCACTCTGTCAGGATCAAGGGAGTCCTTAGAAAGTTCTGGCCAGGGATTTGACACTGCAAGACTTGATCAAAGAACCTTAGGAACCCAACTTTTGAATCACATGATTCACAACCGCCCAAGATACCTTCCACCACTTAGTCCACATGCTCCTATACCAAATATTGGTGTTGGTTGCAGCTCCAACCACACTTTAAGTGTAAGTAGTAGGAATCTAAACATTGAACACACAGGACTAAAGCCAATTATGTCCTCTGCACCTACATTGCCAAATCCTAACACCAATAGAATCCTCTGGAGACGACACTCAATACAGTCAGAGCAAATAAACCAGTTCGTCTACCTTGAGAAAACTTCCGATCACTAGGACAAAACCAAGGCTGTGCTTGCACTGCCTGTGTTAATTTAGGGCTTGATGTAACGGTGATGCATGAGCTGACTGGTGATCCGTGGACCTGACTGTTGAAATTGTTTAGTCCAGAATAAGCTCAATCACCAAGTTTTTGTTCCACCTTTTTTTATGTAACATCTTAAGCAATCAGTGATACTAATTTTGTATTGTCTTCTTTAAACCCTTGATGAAATTAAAATAAACATATACAGGACCCTCCTATTTTTAATAAGAATTGAAACATTTGCAAATTGGAATTACTTTTATTGTTTAACATCAGTATGTATTATTTTGATGCTATATTTTTGTTTTCTAAATATTTATACAAAACTAGGATTTTCCCCCAAAGTACTGACATATGAAAAGGCTTAAATTTTATGCATTAAAATGTTAAGATGTTATATTCGAAACCACAATCACACTGCAAAAATAAACAGTTAAATGTTTGAAATTTAAATTTTTTAAAATTTAAAACAAATGCATATAATGTAAATCTCTTTACATAATATAAACATTTATTGTTTCTGTTTTAATTGTATTTAATCTTTATTATAACCTAATGTTAATAAAATACACATCTATCGAATAACTAGTAATGCATGTATCAAAGCTTTAAATCAAAACATGTATGTGTGTAGAAATGTACATTTTTTTAAACATCAACTATCCAAAATGTCGGACCGGCTCGAGCATGCGCACTACATCACTTCCTCATCAAATTGAATTGTTCATACATCCGCCACCTGGACCAATCAGACGCTGACATTTACTTCCGGTGTTTGGACCTGTCAGGCTGTGATAGGTCGGAGCTTTGAAAGCGGCCGCTGCTGTCATTGTTAGTGTGCGTTTTCGTGTGTGTTCTGCCGCTGCTGATTGAAGACAGGAACGCAGACATGAAGCTCATTCGTGGTGTCCCCGTGCTGTTCCTTCCCCTGCTGCTGGTCCTCTGGTCTTCGGGGGGATCCGCTGACTCAGACATTAACTCCGTTACCTGCGGTTCTCTGGTGAAACTGCTCAACACCAGACACAACGTCCGCCTCCATTCCCACGACGTCAAGTATGGTTCAGGTAACTTTGAGTCCTTACTCTCTGACATAGACAAACATGTCTTTACTTTGTTTTTATTTTGATAGGTAGTGTTTTCCCTCTGTAAAATCCTGTTAAAATCGACTATTTACCGCCTGTTTTGGCCAGCTTTAAACAACAAAAGCCCTTTGTTTCAGTCTAAAGAACAATAGAGCAGAAATGATCATATTTCATTCTCACCATTTAAAGAAGCATATGAGTATATGTTAAGGGTGCTGAATTTTTTTTGAAAACACATCAAAAAGACGTGATTTGTTATCATATCACTCAATGAATATTGACTGATATAAATGTAAATGTCATAACTTGACTCAGAAACGACCAATTTTTCTCCCCTTGTCCTAAACATAAAACGGAAGGAGCAGACTTAACCATTTACATAGTTTAAGATGAATGAATATATTTAATTTTTTGTGTCTGTGTGTGTAGGCAGTGGACAGCAGTCTGTAACTGGTGTGGAAAGTGCTGATGATGCCAACAGTTACTGGCAGATTCGTGGGAAGCCGCACAAACCATGTCAGCGTGGAGCTGCTATCAAGTGTGGAGACACCATTCGTATCACACACATGAAAACAGGGCGAAACCTTCATACACACCATTTCAGCTCACCTCTGTCCAATAACCAGGTGAGAGAATACACACAAACAGAAATACACACTCTCACATAAATTGACCTAACTTAGACCTGGTATTGGTATTTATCATCAGATCCTTACAAAAAGAAAAAAATAGAATATATATATAAGAATTATAGTGTAATCTAGTAAGTGTTTCAGAAACATGATGAGGAAAACACTGGAAAGAAGGTGTTTGGTCTGTGAAGAGATAACAAGGCAGGTTGATGGTGGAATAAAGATGTTCAGGAATGTGTCTAGAGTATCTTATTGAAGGTGACGAGGCAGTAGACGGAAGTACTATCAGGCTAGAAGAGAGTCAACGAGAAGTAGCCAAGGAAAGGTGAGGGGTAATGACGAGTTATATTAAAGGGTGGACTATGGCTGATGGCTATGATGTATGGTTTAGAGACAGTTGAGATGCTGAGATTCTCCCTGGTAGAGACCAGGATGGACAGGATTAGAACAGAGCAGATCAGAGGGACAGTGAAGGTGGAGCAGTTTGGAGATGAAGTCAGAGAGGTGAGGTGGAGATGGTTTGGACAAGGGTTGAGGAGAGAGAGTGGATTATTATTGTAGTGGGCAAAGGATGTTGGAGATGGAGATGACAGACAAGGTGGAGGGAGTGAGATCCCAGAAAAGACTTGTCATAAAACAGGACATGGAGAGAGTTGGTGTAACAATGGCATGTGATAGGGTGAGATGGAGGCAGATGATCCATTGTGGTGTCCGCCTAATGGAAACAGCTGAAATAATTATAAAATGATACTGCATATATTATATAACATTTTATAATTTTTTTGTTAAACAAAAAAGCCATACCTTCTTTAAACTGAATTGTTCTGCTTGTCACATGACATGTAGGGAATTACACTAGGCACCTGTTCCCCCCACACATTCAAATCACTGACCAATATTTTTTGTAAATTAATATTGTTTGCTTTTTATACTAAACAACATAAAGGCTTTCTTTTTTTCTTAAGCTCCGCCTATGTCTTGTTTCTCTCTGGAATTGTCTCTTGGGCTAGATCTGATTATAATTAGAAATGACAGAAAACTATGCATTTTGCATGTAACTTTAATTTGAGTTAAACTTTTCTCTTTTCTCCCTCAATTCCTTGCTTCATCAGGAGGTCAGTGCGTTTGGTGAGAATGGTGAAGGAGACGATTTAGATGTCTGGGCAGTGCAGTGTGATGGCGATCACTGGGAGCGGGATGAGGTGGTGCGTTTCAAACACGTTGGAACTGACGTCTTTCTGAGTGTGACAGGGGAACAGTACGGCCATCCAATCCGTGGTCAGCGGGAGGTGCACGGCATGAGCTCACCTGGCCAACACAGTTGGTGGCGTGCCATGGAGGGTGTCTTCATACAGCCCAGCCCGGAGCTGCTACGACACGACGAGCTCTGATAATACCGTCACTGCAAGAAGAGCATAGACTTTGTGTGTGTGTTTATGTGCGTGTGGGCCTGCGTGTGTTTACACCTGTTCACCTCTGCTGTTTCTTTTCAGTTTTCTTTATGTTTGGCTGCATCAAATTTGTTTCAAAGTAAGGAAGAACACCTGAGTGATGACCACAGACTGTAGAGGTGGAGCCTATTTTCCAGTTAAACATTTGTTGCCGAACAATAAGGAGATATTTCTGGTGCAAAAAAGGTCCACACCCAGTCCCAGTTTGTTTTGAAAGAGACAACAACTTTGGCCAATGAACTCTCCACCCCCTGCTGTTAAAAGGTTGTCAAGATCCACTGAGTTTCCACCAGAGATTTTGCATGGAATTAATGTGTAATTCTAATATGCAGGTGTGACAAAGTTACACAGACGTGCTGTTAGGAACTTCAATAATACTGCTGCAAAAATGCCCCCACAAAACATAATAACTGATTAATACAGTTTTTAAAGTGTTTTTTCCTTCGATCAGTAAATGATGGCTCATGTTAAACCTTCAAAGTTCAAAGACAAAACAACAAGTGACTGGTGAAGACCAAAATTTGCTTAGTTATTTAAAATTTACCTATTTATTTGCCAGAACCTTACCAAAAATTATGATTTTTAATATGATATTCACAAGGCTAAAATCAAGTTTATGTTGCAATTTATGGAAAGTAAATTGATAACAGATATTTACTGTGATGAATTCCCTCTGTTGTTATTTAAAGGAGCTTATATTTTCTGCGTGTAGTTTATCACTTAGCTGCCGACTCCATCATTGTGAAATTACCTTGAGTGACCGTTTAATCATGAATGTAATAATATACAAATGATCCAACAGAGGGCGCCACTTTAACGTTTAAAGTCCCTTTTTAGGCATCTGTAAAAGCGCAAAGTTGCAACGTTCTAAAAGAGTTTTATTATTTGGAGTTTTATCCAATTATTGACTGCATTAAAGGTGCAGTGTGACATGGAAAAGCTATTGAAACCAGACTTCTAAAAAAGGGATTTACTTATTACATTACTTATGCTGTCCATACACTGTAGGAGGCTGATGGTACTGTAGTTGTTAACTGTGAACATACTGTTTTAAACTTATAATTTGATTTGCTGCTGAGTGACTGTGTCTGTATCTTTAACATATTTGACAGAAGCAGCTTATTTAAATGTAAGGTTTGGAATAAGGGTGAGGTTTTTCCCCTGTATCCTGTGGTTCATGTAGTATTTTCATTCGTTTGTTCCTTCTTATATTGGAGACAAAATAAAACTACAAGCAAAAACTCAAATGTTGAGATGCCCTGTGTCAAATTTAAACAAACAAAAATTGTGTGGAAACTGCCCGTATGTAAATGTAGGCCTATAATTTGCAGTGGTGGCTTGATGGTTAAGGAAGCGGACTTGGGTCCGGAAGGCTTCAGGTTTGAGTCCAAGTTCCCGCTGAGGTGCTCTGAACATGGCACCGTCCCCACTCACTGCTCCCGTTAAAGCTGCCCACTGTTCACGTTGGTGATGGGTTAGAAGCAGAGGTCACATGTGGTTGTGTGCTGTGGTGAGCGGTGTCACAATGACAAGGAGTTCACTTTCATTTGGACATAGACACACAAGCCGTTTACTGAAAAATAATCAAATTATAGCAAGTAGTTATATTATATATACACTACAAGAACTCAAAAGTTAACTAGTTCTAGTTCTTCTACTTTAAAGAAGGTCCCAGTCTCAAAAGTGTTCTATCACAGTAGTTGCGTTCCAAGACCCACGTGGTAGAGGTGAGACTGTTATTATATTATTTCCATATATTCCGTAGCGGTTAGCCCGCCTGCCTCAGAAGGAGAGAGCAGAAAGTCCTAGGTTTGATTACCAGAGGAACCACATGTGCCAAGCCTGCTGAGGGCAGCCTGTTAACAGCATATCTGCTGCTAACACAACAATTTCCATATATATATATATGTATATATATACATATATATACATAGCATCTCGTTTTGGAAAGAATGGCTTTTTTTCCCCAACATTCCCTTTTTCAAAATTTCATTTTTTTGTTTAATTTTTATTTTAAAAAAAATCCATTAAAATAAAATATTTCTGCATGTTTCTCATCAAATAAGAACATTTTGAAAAACTCAAAATGGTCTAGTTTGATCGAGAATTCAAAGATGAATTTTCCCAAAATTCAAAAATCTTTTACCATAACTTTTCTCAATCTGCTCCAAAAATTAAGATTTCACCAAAAAATGCCCAAGAAACATTTATTCAAAAATCTCAAAATTGCTCTACTTTGATGAGAAACATACAAAACTGATTTTATTTTTTTCTAAAAGTTTTATCCATTTGACCCTGGTGACGTGTGAATTAGGAAATTTTGCAAGTTCTTAAAATGGTCTAATTTGATGCAAACAGGAAAGTTTTTAAACAATTAAGAAAAAAGAATCATATTTTCCGATGTCGAACCAAATATTACATGATAATTTTGGATTTCTTTCAAGTTTAAACAAATGTCTTAAAATAATCTACTTTGATGAGAAACACAGAAACAAATTTTGAATTTCTTTTTCCATACATTTCTATCATTATTTTTTTACCATCTGTTTTTTACCAAAACATTCCCTAAAACTTTTTTTTAATTCATCAAAATCTGGTAATTCGGTAAAATTACCATACAGAAAACTAATTTTTTTGAACGTGTCTCATCAAAGTAGAGCAGAAATCTTTTAGAAAAAATCTTAAATTTGCATGTCATTTTTGGGCAGATGGATAAGAATTATGCTAAAAATGTTTTTTTCCCCCGTTATTTATCGAAAATAAAATCCAAATTTAGCATGTCATTTTTGAACATAATTGAGAACCACTGCACTAAGACAATCACACCGTCTCCAAGCACTGTACGATTGTCTAGGTGGCAGCCTATGGGAGCAGACCTGTGGCCACATTCTAGCTGCTTCAATCTTGTCATCTCGGTTTGTTTGTTAGAATTGAACTATGAAAATAAATGTTACATAACATGAGAACCTCTTATCCATTTATCCATAGTTTAAAATAGAAACTATTGGAGAACAATGGGTTGGCCTAGGCTCCACGTCAAACAGAAATGCTAATCATCTCTTTAATGTTATGTAATGTTTTAACCGAACATAATGACAATAACGACTACTCTATTTTATTCTATTCTTAATGTGCAATGAACAATAAAAAGAATAGTCCCACTGGCGTCCAGCAGATGGCGGCATGATTCCATCAAAGAAAAGTATAAAGCCCATCAGGTCTGCTGCTAGCCGTAGGTTGCTCTTGAAACTACCCAACAGAGGCGCCCTAAAGTGGAGTGGAAGTAAACATGATATGGTGATAAAATTAAAATTGGGAAGCAGAATTCCAAAACGTTAAAAATCAAACACTACGATTATATCATGTTTAAATAACTATTGCAAAAATAATTAGGTTTCAATATAGTTTTTTTTTCAACCTGCAGGTCTGGACTTGCCTAGAAAGCTAATTAACCATTGTACAGACCACAGCCTGCCATTTCAACTTTGTACATGTCTTACACAGTTTTAGTAAAACATCGACGTGGTACCATAAATAATACTGCAGTACAGAGTAGTTGGTAGTGGTACTTTAGCCCAGAGGCAATGTCACTGGTGTGGAACCCCAGGGTTCACCTCCTGGGCAAGTTCGAATCCTGGTTAGGGCGGTTGGTACCTTCCAGTGGACTCACCACCTGCAGGAAGGTTTAGGGGGGTTGGTACGGTGCAGTGTGATTTGGGTGGAGACTGCTGCCCCTGCGACCCGGTAACGAATTACAAAGTGGATGAAAATGGATGGATGGAGGATAGTTGGGAGAGTAGATTCTCTGCACTAAAAACTACTGAACTGCACTGCACATGTCTGTGATGGTCACATATGAAATAAATAAATTAAATTGCACACCTATAATTTATGTATAATCACTTTATTGTAAATAAAGCACATTTAAAAAGCAGACAGTGGACAGGTGGACAAAAACTCAATGATGTTGATGTGGACTGGTGAAGTAAGGCGAGGCTCTTCAGACTGATGCCCTTTCATTATTGCACTGCTCAATGCAGCTTCACAGTAGTGCAACAGGGAAAGATTGTGAGGCAGAGAGAAAAGCAGGAGTTAAAGATGTCACATCTGAGTCAGAGTTTCTCCACAATCAGATCTAAGGGGGGTTTCGTCACTTTCTGCTCCAGGACTTCACTGTTTTGGTCATTTAACTCCATCTTCTAGTCAACAGCTGAACTACCAGCCTGAATTCAACAGTTCTCTAACAGTTAAATGAACTGATGAACATTCAAAATAAAGTAAATACACAGCAATTATTTAAATGTACTTAAGTTTAAATGACTTGTAGTAGTTGTAGTTGGGTGTAGGAGCAATTCCTCACATGCAGTAGGACCTGATGTTTAAACGACTAAATTAGAATCAATTCTTTACAGATTTTGTATCTTTAATTTTGGATTTTAAATGGAATGCATTATTATTTCAGTATCATCATCTACTTTGTTGTAGAGAAAACATCAATGTGACTCAATTTATTTTATATAAGAGCTGCAGGGCTACTGCTGCATCATGCTGGAAATGTTACGCTCCAGGTGAAAGAAAATTATTAAAAGTTTAAAAAAAAATACAACAGCATTAAATGTAAAAAATTAGAGCAGCACTGAATCAATTACTTCATTTTTTCCTTGGAATTTGGTACAAAGGAGCGGCTGACTGACTCTGCGGTGGACTTGATGTTGATTATAACCAAATATGTGAGTGTTTCTGCTCAAAGGTTTGGGACAAACAGAAGAACAAACCGGAAGAAACTGTAGCTCCAGTGTTCTGGTCCGGGACTCTGCTGCAGAGACAGTGCTGAATTATTTACTAGCCTTGTTCGTTCTCCAACATCAGTGACCTGTGCGGCAGCAGCTGCAGCGAAGAACATCCTTCATTGGCATCACAGGAAGACGACACGCCTCGGAGTCAAGACCCTATAAGCAATATTGCACTACTGTGTTAAGTCTTAGTGGAAGCAGAGGCAATATTGATAGGGTCTGGTCTCCAAGGATGAAACATGACCCAATGCTTGAATGTTATTTCCATAACCTGCAAAAATGAAAAATAATTTTTTTCCACCCAATATCAACACAACACAAGGTTTCTTTGTCTGTTTGTTAGATCTAGATAGACAATTGTGTATTTCCGGAAATGTACCAACACCTCTGGTAAAGGCTGGGTCACTGTGCGACAGTCTCTGTTCCTAAACCAAACTAAAATAACGTGGATGTGGCCTCCAGTGTGTTTACACTACAGTTGTACACAGTGCATGATGGTTGTGCGGGTGGAGACGTGTGTTGGGGGTTGTTTTCACGTGGCCCATGACTCAGTTCGTTCTCTACATTCAATCAGCTGCTCTTCATATAGAACCGGTAAGCTCTGGTATTTGCCTGCATGTTCTGCATGTTTTCAAGCCAAAAAATAAACTAAAATAAATGCCACTGACACAGCCACGTTTTTTTTTTTTCAAATCTCTCGAATCTGACAACAGGTCACAATGTTGCATGTCTATGTAAACCTTCAGTCTTTCTACACAGATAATGTCACCTGTGACCATCTTTACTTGAGGTGTGAGCATGCTGGAGTCAACTTCACAACAATGACAAGTAAAGACCAGACAATGAGAAGTGCTGCAGGAAGTTTTATATTATATATATATTTTATCACAATCCTCTACACTAGGGAGGCATTTTGTCAGTGGAAAACAGCCACCAGGTGATGGCAATACAACTAAACGGTGCAGTGCAGCTGTTCAAAAGCTCAGAGTTCAGAAAATAAAATAAATAAAGATAAGATGCTGCCGGGATTAGCTTAGCCTAGCCTCAAATGCACACTACTTTTTGTGTGCATTTTCAGCCACACTTGACTACATCATGTAGCTTTTATTGTAGCACGTTGTTGGTTATGAAGTTTTAAAATCGGGTGTATAAAGATGGTGAACCTCCATGAGGAACCAGGTTTTTCTACATTTGTTTAATGTCTTTTGGTTTTTTTTTTTTACTACATGATAAACTTTTTTTTTTACATTCATTGTGAGATATGCATAAAGATTTGTCCTTTCTCTACTAACGCACAAGAGGGACTTAAAATACAGCTTGTGCTTTGAATTTTTCAGGTTTTTGTCAGACTTCAGCAGAGACTGCTTCTGAGGAAAACCTGGCTTTCTCCTCTAAAATGCAAGGATTTGTTTTGAGAAATTACATTCTGCTGCTGTATTTCACTTGTAGTTTAA